AGCTGGTACTGGTCTTACTGATACCTGCCTGAACTTTCCCACCTGCCTGAACCTCCTCTCCTGCTCCTGTCATAACACCCTGTGGTTGTGGCAACTCTGTCACTAAAAGTGTCCCTTTAGATATTTCGACAGTGGGATACAAACCTCTAACTGGTTCACCATTACTCTCTGTGCTGGGAGGAGGTGCTGATGCCCAGACAAACCTATTATAAGGAGGTGGATCACCTGATTTCACCAGCTGATCCTCTAGGGTTTCCCTATTAAGATGATTTGTCCCCTGACAAAACAAGGCTAACTTACACCATGCCTGACGTTCTGACTCTGCTTTGTTCTGCACTTTTCTGCCCTTAGCCTTAGCAAGCATGCTACCTTCTGCAACCTTTAAACTTGCTTCCTTTACTGCAGCCACAGACTCTCTTTCTTTGTCCCAAAGYAATTTAGCTAGAGGCTGTCTATCTGTTAACTGAACCGCCTTTTCCTGTAAAAGCTCATCTATAMGTTCTAAAGCCTTCTGCTTGGCCTTCTCCTGTTTTCTTTTGGTCCCTGTTTTTCCAACTGCTGTCAACAAATTATCTTTCTGCTCTCCTACAGTCTTCCAAACCCACTGTCCTGCCTGACCCCAACCGGAGTCAAAAGTCTCTTTATCAAACTCGCCTTCCATCCTTAATTATATAGTTGTTTCCTTTGTATTTATTTATTTATTTATTTATTTATTTATTTATTTATTTATTTATTATACTGTATGTGTCTGTGTGTATTAAGGTGTGTGTATTTAAATGTTTGTGTGTGTGTTTGGCAGTAGCTACAGTATTTATTTAGTTAGTCAATTAGTTAGTTATGGCCACACTCAAACCCACATTCACAAGTGCTTTTCCAGACACACAGTTAGTTTRTTATTTATTACATACAATAGTTCTCATACACAGTCAAACTTCCAGACAAACGCACACACGTAATCACGCTCTCTCACAAGCACACACACTCACCACCTCTCAGGGCCCTTATCACTTTATTTTGTAAGTTTCTCAGCTTGTTCAAACACACTGAGAAGCCAAGACCTTCCGTTGAGCAGTGAACTCCACAGACTTGTCAGCTTCCCTTATTGTTTCCAATCATACCGCTGATCTTTATATTCCACACACTAAAGACTATGTGAATAGTGTTTCCACTTTAAATCAACAGCTCGGTAACTCCAGCTGTTGATCTTCACATAAACTTTCACTGTCCGTGTGAATGGTGAACTCACCCCAGCAGATTAAGCTCTGGCTGTACTGCCTGGCCAACCGCTGTTATTCATTCACTTGGACCTCATAAAGGGCTTCTATTGTTTGCTTTGTAATTTATTTCACCGTTATCCTAATAAGAGTTTCGTTGGCACCGTTAGGATCAGCTCTTATCAGCCACGGCTTCACAAATTTGTTCAGCAAACAACTCTACCCCCAGCCACACAGATCAGCCTCACCGTTCAGACCAACCCAACCACTCTTATGAGCACACAAAAAGCAATAGGGTCATAGCAGCATTAAATGTTATAGCAGCAACACACTGGGCTGGTTACCAAAATAAACACAAAACAAATAAACACAGCAATCGCATAACACAAAAGTTTAAAAGAAAACAGGCCTTTTACTCATATGCGCACCTCTGCTCAACCGGTTTTAATCTTTAACCCAAACCTTTGAACCTTGATTTAACCGACTTTAGAGGGGTCCTCAAAGTCCCTCGGGCATCGTCCGCCCAGCGACTAATCTGAATTTTCGTCAAAATTTCAGTTGGGTCTCGCCAAGACCTAGGTCACGTGAGTCTACTAAAAAGGCCCCAGGCCTTGGGAGTTTATAAATAAACTCAGGAGTTCCAAACTCCAGACTCTATCAAGGTTCACTTACTTCAAAACAAATGAGGTAGTAATTGTTATTATTATTATTAGTGTTATATTATTATTTTTATTTATTATTATTTAATATATTGTAATTCAATTAAATTCTATAAATCACTATTGGTCTCCTTTAATTTAATTAATTTAATTTAGTTTAATTTAACAGACAACTCACCCCAGCCACCTCTTGGACACAATTTAGTTGCAAAGTAAGGCCGAATCAGCAGACTTTATATAAAAATGGCTCTGCCTTACCTTTATAATGCTGGCGCCAGTGGTCCAAGAAG